AGTATGGATGTAGATCTGAATTAGATTGTGAAATGAATGAATGTGTGTAGTTTGCATGCAGCAGACAATTTGGTTCCCAAGTGAAGAAGGGTGGAAGAAATACCCTGATTTTTAAGCACAGGGAATACTTTAAAGTAGCAACTATTTGAGCAGGTATTCCATCTACTTGGAATATTCACATTTGCCATGAATGAGCAGGCATTGAGCATTTGTGATGCCTGCACTCCCTGTCTGGTGCACTGAAACTTGCTGGCAGCCATCCCAGAACCTTTCAAGGAAGAGTACATGGACGTTTGCAGTAATTTACTGGCCACTCTTTGTAAACTCCTGAGAAATTACATTCCTGAATTAAAATTTTAACTTCTTGCTAGACCACTGTAAGTAGTGACAACTAAAAACTATTGTTAAGGACATGGCAAAACTTGCCTGATCTTGGGAACCTGTTTGGCAATGGACAGCAGAAACATTCCACGAAGACTTGTGGTCTCATCTCGCTACTCTCCTTCTAGAGAGCAGTGTGGCTATGCTAGCAAGTTTTTATTTATTTAACTTGTGAAGCTGTCATTGCAGACAGGTGTTACTGCAAGAATGTCCCACCTGATTAATTTCTTCTGATTGATAGCCAAAGGCTTCTTGCATACTATTTCCCAAAAAGAAAATGAGCTCAGAGGCGTGTGTAGTCTTGTTCATTACCAGAATGTACCTATCCATATGTGTTCCTGCTTCCTAGGTTTATTTGTGAGAAAACCTTTCCTTTTTGAAGATGACCCCTTTCTCTAGGTACCATCCCCTAAACATTTGGAACTACTTCTGTGATGAGAAACAGTGAACTTTTCTTTCTCCTTTCTCTCTTTATTTGTACACAAGCCATTTCACAGGCAGAAGTCTTTTCTTTTTAAAAATATAAAGCCTTTTTCAATGGGATGTAAAACTTCAGAGTGAACAACAAAAGATAAATGCAAACAAGCATGTGAGAAAAGTTAAATGATGTTTAATTGATGGTTGGAACTGTTTGCAACAGTATCTCTGAGGAGCTCTTCTAATACTATCAAGCAGACACATTGATGCTTTCAAAAATTTAAACTGTTGGATCAAGAGTTTTCCTTCAAACATGTCTGAATGCTCCTTATGACTCTCTAAAAGAAGAGACCTACTGTCTAGAAGTTCAACATAATTGTAAAGTATGACTGCTTTCTTTTTTATATCTACCTGTGTTCTTGCTAAGAACAGTATTAAATAACTCAATAGCCAGTGATACCCTTTTAGAGATGCTTTATATTTGTAACAGCCAAATTACTATGACACTGAGGTCAGCTACAACATATTACATCAATGCAAAAGGAATTATTTTAAGGGATATATTTTATTTGGTATGACCTGCTTTTTTCCTAAGAGTCTAGGATGAGCTTAAGGCTGAATATTCACACTTTCAGAGTTTCTAAAATGCAGCAATGGCTAACAAACCTTTCTGAGTATATTTACAACTGGTGCAAAGGTTATTTGAAACACCTACTTGTCATATTGTCATGTAGGAGGTGTATACTGTATTTTATAGCTTATACAAGGCCTCTCATTTAAGGATTTTGAAAATGCGAATGTGTATCTTCCCCTTTCTTTTCTGTCCTTTTCTTCCAGTCTAAGTTTCAGTGTGATTCTATAGTTGACTTCTACTGGAATGGTTAACAGCAAACTTCACTGAACATATGTAGAGTTAAATTTAAAACTTCATGTGGTTATTAGCGAGACACACCTGATACCAATATCTCACTGCAAAAGTGTAAATAGAAAGAAACGCATTTAACTCAATAGAGTTGCATCAGTGTCGTAGAGGTGTGAGATCAGATTTTGTAGATGGAAAGGAGTTATCAGACATCATATAGATTTAATCAACACAGTCTTCATCTTTAAGGTTCTGCAGGAGGTATCCAGGGAGGGATCAATCTTATAACTGTGTATAAATATATGATAGGAGGGAGTAAAGATGGAGCCAGAGTCTTTGAACGGACAAGAGGTATTGGACACAAATTGTAATGCAGGAAAACTTATTTGAATATTTAAAAAAACCTGTTGTTTGTTTTTTTGTTCTGAAGGTGGTCAGACACAGTTGCCCAGAGAGACTGTGGAGTCTCCATCCTTGGAGACATTCAAAACTTTACTGAACATGGTCCCAAGCAACCTGCTGTTGGTGACCCTGCCTTAAGCGGGGGGGTTGGACTAGACAATCTCCTGATGCACCTTCCCACTTCATCTATTTTGTGATTTTGCGAGTTTCAGCTATGCTAAAATACTGTACTTCTTATTTCCTTGACCCTGATCCTTATCTTTGTGGATTATTGATTGCTAAATTAAGAAAACATACCATTTAAATGTCACATATCACATATCCCTGTTATCAGAATTGGTATTCAGCAACACTGCCTCTTAAGCTCAATTTTGTGGCACAATTTGGTATGGGCAGAGAGTTGGATACGAGCGAAATCATTAATGATTCATTTATACTATTTATATGACATGTTCTGAAAATGCTGTGAAAGATAGGCAGAGATTACATCAAATTGTTCTAATCTGCCTCAGGGCTGTTCTAACTAAGGATCAAGAATAAAACCCAAGCTGCAAGCAGAAACAGATAGATATCTGAAATAAATGATGATATAATCTATTGCTCTCTTTGTTGCAAGGTTATCCCAGTGCCTATAAACATTCCTCAGAGATACACAGTGTCTGTGTTTAAAAGCCACCAAGCATTTCTAATTTAAGGACTTGTTAAAGCTATTCCCTACTCCTGACATCATCCGAGAACAAGCCTTTAATCTTGTACAAAGTTTATGACTAAATAAAAATTCTTAACTGAAATTTTTTAAGTATTTGATTGTGGTGAGGTACTTTTGTCCAGAGGGCTGCTAACAGTCAGGGAATTTGGCCTTTAGCTTAAAGACAAAAGAAAAACTGTTACAAAACTTTTTTTGCTTATTCCTGTAACCAAAACAGTAACAAAAAAATCCTATTAAAATAAAACAAGTGTTAAAATAATAACTGGAAAACCCTTTATGTCTTTTTACAATGTTTTGTTATGCAAGAAGCTGAATTACATTTATACTAAATGGAGAAACCTTTATGCATCTGAATTTTCCGAGCGCTACCAGATCAGATTGACACCTGTAGCCTACATGATCAGCATCAATAACGCAGCAAATGCTATTTTAGATATATGTCGTCATTTAAACATATGGGGTACTAGGCCAAATATGACCTGAGAATCAAATAAAATCTGGAGAGCAGAACCAGTACAGGATCCAGATTTCCAATCAGCTGCTATTAAAATCAAAACAGACACTTTATTTCTTTTGTATACATGTCTATCAGTGCCAAACCCAGCCTGGGAATAAGAGACACACAGCTCATGTTTCACAGACCCCTAAATGAGATCAAACTGATCTCAGAAGCAATGCAGCGGCAGTCAGGTGACATTTTTCACAAAACATGGTCTGTTGTGATTGCCTGAAATTTCTGATGTGCAAAAATGGAACAAAGTAAAGGGGTTCAGTTTTCACCGGATGGGTGCTCAGGGCTTTATCACAGGTTCCTTTGAAGTGCTGAGCCCAAAACCAGACAGCCAACATGCCTTGGAAACTGTAGGCCAAGTTGGCTGTGTATCTGCTAATGCATTGTATGTGCCTGAGGTCATTCTCCTGCACAAAGGTCAACAGCCATGGGACAGCACACATCCCTATCGTAAACCTCTTACCCTCCAGGACAGGGTGGCCACATGCAAACTGCCTACCGGGAATGGCAGCTGGCCTCTGTGTACTCCTGGTTTTGCCCAGCAACGACCTCCAAGAATGACACTTGGCCTGGGCCAAAATTAAGCAGAGACCAGGCTGACAATTTAGCAACACGATGATTTGATTTCAGAGCCTGGGAACACTCCTTGACACTATTTTTCCTAATACAGATGCAGCCTATATATCTTTTTTTCAGATCAAAGCACATTAAAGCCTCATCATTTGATAGCAAGTAAGTTACAAACAGAATTGAAATCCTCTCTCCCTGCTTAGCACACACTTAACATAATGGGGATGGGATTTGAGATGCAAATAAATTGTAGATTGCACAGAATCAGAACTCTGACTTGGGCATTGTATTTATAAAGAAGAATGCATATGAATACATATCTTGGAAATGGAAGACAATATTAAGAAGACAACTCATATAAAATGTTTCACTCCAGATCTGTGAAAACTACAGGAATTGTCATCTTGCAGAACCCTAACAGACCTCCTAGATCTGTGCTTGCACATAAAGGGCAATTTCATCAGGCCCTTCAGTGCATGGTTACCCCAGAGCATGACTGTCTCTTCTAAATAGTGTTTCTTTATAATTATGAGTTTGTACTGCTAGCTTAACATCCCTTTGCTTTACCATTTGGTGGATGATTTGAACTAACAGAAGGAAACAAGAAACATAACCCAGAAATGTGTGCTTTGCTCAATTACAGACAAAGATGTTAAACCATAATAATGTTCCCCACCAACATAATGAAAAACAGTGAGATGTTCCCATCCTAAAAAAACAGCTGCACATACAGGTGTCTGCACCAGATGCTTCCCTAAGCACAATGTGATAAAAGTGATTATTCCTCACTCAACAGAGAACAATCCCTAAGCAGGGTATTTAAAGGAGGATGATAGTGCAGGTAATTAGGAGCCCCATGCCTTACACACAAAGCAATGTTTAAGAGGGTGAAGCTGAGAACCATCTGTCCTTTACACATGGGCCTATGTTTTTATTTGTGAATTCATCATAACAAGGGACAGTTTTCAGTCTGATTTCTCAGGCAAGATCAATGACTTCTCCCTGGTTTTAACAGGTAGTAGCTTGCCCTGTGGCTCCAATAGGAACACAGGCATCAGAATCTAATACCTTACCAATGGACATTTCTGTGAGGAGTGAAGGAATAGCCTGGTCTTGCCCCAAAGTATGTGTATAGTGTCTTTTCCTACCTTTGGACTTCCTGTCGTGGTAGCTCCTGCCTCGATAGTGGTGACCACTGTCTGTGTACAAATTCTCAAGATCTTCTTGCCAGGAGTCTGGGTTAAAGTGTTTGAGCAGATCCTCCACCGTGTCAAACGCAGCAATGGTCTGATCCAGTGCTTCTGCCGTGAGCGTAGAGTCAGTCACTGATGGAGAGGGATAGGATACCCCCTAAGAGTGACATACATCTCAGTGCACTTGGAATGAATTACAGCACCACTTAAAACAATTGAAAACAGTTACTGAGAAACTTGTCTCATTATTGACTGAAACAGCTACTTTGGGCCATCTTTTGAAGTCCTTAGCTGGATCAGGCTTTGTTATGCCTGTATTTTCTTTTGCAAGAAGATGAAACATCAAGGAACTCCCAAGCAAATCCCAGAGGAGATGCAGGGAGTGGAAGCACTGCCACTGCTGGACTGTCAACATGGACACCCACTCCTCAAAGGGGACAATGTTTGCACATATACAAAGATATAATGGAAATTTCTGCTGAAACCACTGTGATGGCCATGACCACACAACGGAGGTGCCTTGTGGTGCGGGGGTGATGCCTTCACAGCTCTGCCAGCTCTGTTGGTAAATCCATAATAGGCAGATCAGAAACCACAGCAGAGAAAGACAAAGGCAACAAGTCCACTAGATGGTCTTTTCTTCCCTGGTCAATCTGGACAACAAATTTGGCTTCGTTAAAGACTTGAAAAGATGGCCCTTTATTCCCAAGAATTAAATGTGTTATGAAATACCGACTAATGGCAATTCTCCCGCCTTTTTACCAAAAATACAAGTTACTAAGCAAATCAGAAAAATTGTGATATTTGGCTATCAGCAATATAACAATGAATATTAGGATTACCAACACAGTGATATCCTCACAATTATATCATGATACCAAGCAGAATGTTATTTCCAACCAGGAAGGGCCAAGTACCGTTCTCTGAGTGTATCTGGTTCCCACTGAACTTGTGGCACAAATTGACTTTGACAGAAACATTGCAGCAATTTCATTTTTAATGGAGAGGACTTTAAACATTTTTAATAATCGTTATTTAGAATCACAATATTCACTACCCTGATATCACTTTTCCCCCTTTCCAACCACAAAGCCTCATAGTATATGTAAAATATGTGCAAGAAAAATTATTAATGAAAATCCGTTACTTTCTGAAGAACCACAATCAAAATAACTGATTTTGTCCAACAAGAAGCATAATACAGCACAAGAGTTCTGTTTGGATTTTGGTCTTAAAAGTTAAAACATTGGGGGAAAACCCTCTTCTCTCATGAAAGCCCAGCTCTGAAGTAACGTAGCAGAAATAGGCCATTTAAAATTAACGGCTCCCCAAAATAATTTTTTGCCTCATCTCCCAAGTAAACGTATATGTTAAACTATTAATCTTTGTGATTAACTTCACTCAGTTGGGTAGTGACGGAAAGGCCAACTTATTTGGGTAAAGTTACTCACTTGTTTGTAGGATAGTGTCCTTCAGCGCTTACTAAAATAGTTTTAAAGTATGTATGTCTTTTGAAATAAAACTTTTATCTTTAACTGTAAGTTACATTGCAAAATTAATAATCCTTTAATTTTACTGCATATGTTTGCTGGATGTATGGACAGTCGAAATTATTAAAAACAAGAAAGAGAAGAAATAGAAAACATTACAGTAGTGCGGTCAAGGAAGCGTAGATGCGTTTTACTGCTTATTGCCAACAGCACAAGAAGTTTCAGAGGGCCCACTTGTGACTGCAATGCCTCCACCATGCAGTGCTAAATAAGACACAGTGCAGATGGCTGTAAAAATTCATGACCCACTAAAAGGGAAAGCATACCTCAGAGCATCTCTCCTGACTTCTAAGTGGCTTGGAATAGATTGTCAAAGAGATGGGAGACCCAGGAGATGAAAAGCTCACACCAGCAAAGTGAACAGAGCGTTGTTACCTAAAGCAATGCTGCAGGAAAGACTGTGCTGTAGGTGAGTATCATGCAGTGTGCTAATGCAGTTATTGAGGTTACAAAAGAAAAATGCACCCAGATGCTACTTGCTTATTGAGGAGAACTCAGTGGAACTCATGGCTCGTCTGTGACTGCAGCCCAACAGGGAAATGTCAGTCCCCGATTACCTTTCAAAAGTGAGGGAGATGGTGCAAGGATGCCGAAGAAACAGCAGCATAAAAATCAGGCCATAGGTGTGTGGCTTAGACAATGCTAGAGTTTTTTTTCACGTGTTCAACTGTGCATTTCATTACAGAACTGCACGTCGGGCTGTGAATTTGTGGGGCATTTCAAACTCATACAGGCAGCAGGGATTCCCCATTTTCTTTTCATATAAAATCTCCTACGCAAGAGATTTGTGCAACCTCGTTCACACACAGAAGAAAGCTTAACTTTTTCTCAGTGACAGCCAAGTCAAGAGGAATTATTTCCACAGCTCAGATAACCTACTGGCAGCGACATCATGTGACAGGCCCAAAAGCAACTTCAAAGCTGCCAACCCAACTGCCTGTCTTTTGTCCTGCCAAGAACACGGCGCTAGCTTTAGAAGAGCTTGTGCTCATCATAATCTGGCTTCTGAGATCACATCCAAAGAGAGGGTAAGAGGAAGAGTGAGATGCAAGAAGAAGTGAAGAGCAAAGATTTTCCACATTATGTACCTCTTTTACGTTTCTTAAAAGCACTGAATGCATTTATGATTTCATGGGGCACAAAGGTATATTTTTTGTCAGTGCTTTTACCCTTAATTTCTATTGTCCCATTCTTTTATATTTTCTAACTGCATTGTGAAGATGACAGGCAGTTCAATGTGCACCACAGTTGCTTGTTGGTCATAACATTACTTAACAAATAATGGAATTTTGTTTCCTTTTTTTTTTTCTGTGTTTGCAATGCTGGTTTAAGGGCAGAAGTATTGGTTTTAGCTTTCTGACAAAAAAAAACCCAACAACAAAAAAAACACAAGAAATATGTTTCTGTGATAATGACATCAGACAAGGAAGAATAAATTTGCTCACCCTCAAATTTCCATTCTGAGAGTTGTAATGTATCCAGATCCTAAAATGAGTCTTTGGGTTGCCTGTGGGTTTGAGGGGCAAAACTTAGATCTGCCATGCTAACTGAGTATCAGCAGAACAGTATGTCAACTTGTCAGCAACTGACAGGTCTGAGTTTTTCCTTCTGCCCCTCAGGACCACAGCAGAATCCCTGAATGTTTCTCTCCTGAAGAATTCGGATGTCCTCAGACTTTTTCCTTGGTGCCTTTGGGAAAAAATACTCAACGTCTCTACCTTATTTTCCTTGAGGATAAGAAAGGCCTAGCGGGTGCAATGCATGCCCAGTGGAAGAAGGTATGTTTTATTAGATAGGGGATGGCATGGGAAAACCAATGAAACTGGGGTTCTGCTACTGTAGGTTTAACTGTAGGTTTCCATGTGATCTTGGGCATCAGCTTGCTACCTGTAATATTTGTACTGAACTTCCCTACCTGTAACACATTAACAACAACTTTTCAGAAACAAATAGATATGAAAGATAAATAAACTTTTTTTCGATATGAAAAGAATACTAGATTATTGTTTGGCGTATTGTACGCCTTATGATGTTAAGGAAGATAACTAACATGGCGTTTACCATATACTTGATCTCATTTTCATAGTTACCTGATGAGGGAGCCCTAGGCTTACATTTTCAAACATCAGCCTACCATATTTTTAAACAAAATACTCTGTCAATCACATGGATTTTTTTTCCAACCCCATATTAGAATGAAAAATGAGTTTATGTCTTTCAGTAAAACACTGTTTTAGCATCTCCTGCTTGGCACATCCAGTAGATCTCAGCCTTGCTAACGCTACTACTCAGGACTTTCAGCACAATTAGTTCAAGGCTATCAATGCATCGTATCATGAAGGGCAGGTGTTATTTGCAAACTCAAAGATAAACACGAGATTGGCTTAACATCTTCTAATTTTGGCAATACAGAATTTTCTCTCTACTCGCTGCCTGGCTTGGACACTAATCAGTAGAATTTACCCATATTTTATTTACTGCTCCTCCACTGGCAACTGCTGGCAGCGACTGTAACAAAGGTGCCATCACTAAACCCTCTTCCATGAATGCTCCAAGCATTCCTCTCAAGTCTGCTTTGAGCGCTTATCCTTGTCTCATGTGTTTTAAGAGGCGTTTATAAGAGCTGTGACATGGTGCTTACCAGCCAGCAGTGCACACAGAAGCGGACTGCCCGTATTACAAATTCTGATGCTACATTGCAATTCCCCAGAATTTAACTTGGGAAATTAAAGAGAGGACAGATTTTTGGCCAATGACACAAATCAAATATGATGAAGAGAAAAATAAAATTTTATACTGGATTACTTGTTTTCTTTCTTTTTTTTTTTTCCTAAGTTGCATTTCACTACTTAATATGGAGACTTCAGATATAATATTTTATTACAAATACTTAAAAAAATCTCAGTATTGACAATGAAAAGCTAGATCCATTTTCCTGCCAGCCTGTTTATAGTCCTCATTTTATAGTCCTCTATTTAGGTTGAGACAGTTTAGAATTGAAAATTTTAAGGAGTTTATTTTGTATTTTCATCTTGGCAGGATGAGTTTGAAAGCAAGAAATGTTTCCCAGTGGCTATCATCTCATGTGGTTACAACAGCTGATGGCATATCCTGAATCTTTTATCCTTAAAAACACACTACTTAAGTCCAGTATGAGTTGGATAAACACTTATTTCACCCTCTGCCAAAGGTGAATACATGGTTCTTCTGTGCAGGTGCCATTTTAGTGAGTTCAATTCAAGTCATCCTATCAATCCATCCATGGGCAAGATATTAACAAATTACTTACTGAGACAGAGCTTGTGACTGACTCCCAGTTGGTTTCTGAGGCTGCATGCTGGAAATCATCCTAAGGGGAAAAACCCACAGGAAAAGTCACCATTAAGGCAATGTCCTAAATTAACTGCAGAACCTAAAAAATGTCTCAGCATTCAACATCTGTCACCTTTTGCAACCCTCTTTAATGCAAGAGGCCCTTACCATGTGTCATTCCTAAACAGTGCTACTTGCATCCAGGTTCCTCCATTTTCATTGTTTATAAACTAGCTCCTTGTAAGCTTGCTGGGGCAAGGATAGGTATTATTATTATTTGTAATGAGATATACGCTGCTTTGCATAGCAGGACCTAATCTGTTCCTTACATTTATCTTCCAACACAAATATTGAACACCACCTCTGTACGTCTACAATCAGAGTATTAATGCTGTTCCCCAAACAGATCCGTTTTGGAAAGAATGTGGACATGCTAATACACTGGTACTTCTTAGCCAAGGTGAAAAGCAGGGTAATCTAATCCATTTGAAATGTAGTCCTAACATGACTGTACCGCTTTTGGTGCTTGGGCTGAACAAGACTTGCTCATCTGTGCAGAGCACTGAATGGCACAATGTCCTTTACATCAAAAAACACAGCCACAGTGCATTCACATTAGAAGTGTCATCGCACAAAACTGCATGGCATTTATGATTAATTTGAGCACAGGGATGGGATTCATCTCATCTACCTTTGGACATCTACAAAGCAAACATCTAATCTAGTCACTCTTGTTTTCATTTACAGTCAACTAAACCTAGCATTTTTAGGGTGCAAATCATCTGATCTATTTCAGAAGCTCAATTTGGGATGACACTGCATCCTAAAAATGCTTTTTTTTCCCCGTTGTCTATAAAGGGAGCCTGGGAGGACTAGTGTAGATACAGATGTCAAAATTGTAGATATTGACATGTGGTCACCGGAATCCCAGTCCGCTTGTCTGATAAGTGATGGGCAATCATTACTTAAATTATAAAGAAGCCATTTCTTTAATCTTTTGGCAGTTTTACTCATTTCCAACTGGAATAATTAAACCATGAAAAATGGAAAAAAAAAGGCAGCATTACAGAATGGTTATTAAACACACACATGCAGTGAATAGCTAATGATCGGCATGAATAGGCAGGGAAGGAAAGTGGACTGAAGTGACAGCACACCAAGACTTTAATTTCTAATAACAGAATTTATAATGAAAGGATTTAAAGAAGATGGATCAATGCCTGGGCTCACCATTTTACACTGACTCAGTATCTGCTATGCATTTTTTAAATTGGTGATTGAAAAGGAAAATGGAAGGGTACCTGCTTAGCTGATGCTCTCTAGACTCAATGCAGCATTGGACCATACTTATATGCATATATTCAGTTATTTCTTAGGAATGCAAAAGAGAAAATTCATCACATAATCTGCTAATTCATCAATAAAATTCTCCTTTAGTCAAGAAGGAACAGAGCCACTTTCAGGTTCAGACTCTATATACATGGTATTTTAATGTTTTTCATTTGCTACAGAAAAATATTCAAATGTCCCAAAAGTCACAGGATTGTTTATTCAATATTGGTACTGTTTATTCTTCCTTAAAACGTTCCTTTCTCTCAAATTTGAGGCAGGAAAATTGTAGTGATTTCTTCAGTACTTAAGATTAGTAGAAGTTAAGAAACCCCATCACACTATAGTGTCACTAAGTGACCACTGAAACGGCAGGGCTATTAAAACATTAATAATTAAAGGGGTCATTTTCTTCTAGGAATACAGAAGCAAAACATTGGTGAAATTTTTAATGCAGATTTTTTTTATAAACAGTAAAGAGATAGGCAAATGCTACAATCAGGTCATAAATAATTCAGGAACAGTGGGCTACCTTGGCCACATTCTCGACACATTTGGTTGCCCAGCTCTTGACAAGCCATGATTTGAAGTACATAAAAATGGATTTGAAAAGCTCATGGATCCTCTGGTAATGGTTGCCAGTTGCAAAACTTGGAAATAATTTCCTCTCTGTCATTAGCTTCCATTTAGCACGTCCAGAAAAAAGTGGCATTGAGTTCTGAGGCATTATTTTAAAACAGGAACAATCTGCCTCATTCAATGTCTGGAGAAGACCGTAGACAAGGAATAATTTTGTGTTTGAAGTGACGGTCCCCTTGTGTTATCTAATTGTAGACATCAAAAGTGTTTCTTTAGCCTATGATTCTTTGAGATGGTTGATGCCAGGGAACCCCTCCAAAACCCTGAGATAGATGTGTACCACCTGCTTCTTGGATCTCAAACCTGATGACTGCACGTTTTGACTCTGTGATTATATTTCATCTGCATAAACTGTTCACAACTATATGGCTTTGTTCCACCATCACTCAAGGCAGCTGCAGCCATTCTTGGCTTCTCGGAGCTTTCAACCTCTACAGTTTGAAGATTATTATTATCTGTCTTCTGCTTGTAGCTATTTCAAGTAATAATATCAAAGTGGTTCTCATCATTACAAAACCCTCTCCTCCTTTCTCACCATTGTCCCTAGCAGAACCTGAAAGACAAATCTATTTTAGTGCTATCTATGCAATTCATACTACCTTGTTTATATGAATTTACATATGATCACTTGGCTATTGTTTTCTCCATTACTTAAAATAACATTACAACTTTTAGTTAAAACATAAAAAAAAAAAAATTACATCTTTTTTAACTGAATACTGGAAAAACAGGGTGGTAATAATTTGACTACATCACCCTGACAACAGTGCTTTTATTTTCGTATGTGTGTCATGGTAACATAACAACGTTACATGAGACTTCAGCAAAGTATTGCATTAACCGTTCTACAAGCAGCAAAAATACAGGCAAAGCAACAGGGCTACCAACCACCTTCTGATAGCAGCTACTTTTATTGAAGAAAAATGACTTCCATACCTCAACTTCCAAAATTACACTTCAGCATGACAAATCCTGAGTCAGTCCTTAGAGTTAAATATGTATGGACATTGATATATTGTCCTTGGCTCTGTTTCAGACAAAGATAAGCTACTCTCTCCTTCACAGACTGACTTTGTCTATAGCCTGTCTCCCACCACTGATCTCCAATAAGTGACAAGGAGTCACGGGGAATACTCTTTGTTTCAGCTAGGGCTTTCACAAGTGGAGATCATGAGGCAAATCACTGCTATCAAGGATATATAAGATTGCAGAGCCAGATAGCACTGGTTGCTGAGGAAGATGGTTTGCAGCCTGGGGGTCCATGACCTGCAGCAGCACAGGCTCTGCTGAGCTCAAGCCATGGGGTTTGGCAGGGTCAGTAGGAACAGGGAGACATCAGGAAGACACCAGGGATGAGGCTGGGAAGCTCGCCAGTTTGAGAAGCATGTTGTCCATGACTCACTTTGCTGTACCACAAATATGGCAAAACATGTGAGTCCTCCCAGCCATGCTGAGTTACTGCCTGGTCCTCAAATTAAAAGCAAGAAGCATTTTCTAACATTTCTGTGATTCATCATTTTTTTACATACTTTACCACTGCAGTCCAGTCTTTTGTCATCTTGGTGTTTGACATCTATGAGGCATGATGCCTGGGATAGGCAATAACTGCCACAAGACAGGCACAACACACTAGCAGCTCTCTCCAGTGAAAAGAAGCCCCATATCTCTGTAAGCTCCTCTCTGAATTCTTTCTCCTAATCTGCAGGTCCCTGGGGTAATTGGATTAGGTTTGGTGAAAGATTGTTTATGTGCCAAAACAACTATAAGCTATGGCTAACAAAAGCTGAGGTGATGCTCTCCACTTCAGGGAGCAGGAAGGGTTCACAAAAGAGTTGTGGTTAAGAGCCCAGACAGCATCCTAGACTGACATTTAGTGCCTACCAAGTTTAATAAGGTCCTCTCCTAAAGGAGCAACCTTCTCTACTGTGACCTTGTCATGGGAGTGGAAGAGAAGTGAGCGGGAAAGGTAAAAATGCAGGCATGTTCTTGGGGCAAGTAAACCTAAGAAAGAGGAAGAAAGAAAAAAATTAAGGAAAAATGAACTTAGAGAAGATGAATGTGTTGGGCTCTGTCTGTGGACACCTCACTTGTGGTATTTGGATGCCACAGCTATAAACTATACGACAGAGAAGCAGCTTCTAGAAGTTTGCAGAGGAATAGGGCTAAGGGATGTACTGAGGCACAAAGGAGATTCTGCAAAATGAAATCAGAGGTGAAATGGGGCATGTTCAAACAGGTCCAGTGCAGAAAGAAAAAGAAGTTGGAATGTTTCACTGGAACATATGAATTAGGGACCAGGACAGTAGAAGGTCTGTAAGAAAAACCTAGGGTAAATTATAACTTGAAGAAAAAGAGATGAAATTATCCTAACATCTAAATTAATAAAAGGAAACTCAACGATAGTTATTTTTGAACAGTAGTCAACATGCATCTATTGCATTCAGAGCTGTTTGCGGACAAGTAGATGATAAGCAGATAAACTCGTAGCTAGTAATAATAAATTATAATAAGCTGGAAATAAGGTCTTTCTTTTTTTCCCTGTAGCAAGCAAAATTATCAATATTTTCTCTGAACATTGGATTTATAGATATTACATTTTATATACAAAGCAACAGGTATTTCAAGCAAATAAAACCCAAACTCAGAACATACTGTGTAACAGCAAGTGTTAAGTAAGAGGGAAAAGAAAAGTTATAGTTCCATTTAAAAAAAATGCTGTGATAAATACCCAAGTTGTACACTTCCACTGATTAATTATAATTTCTCATGTGACATTTTAGTATACTCCAATTTCCATTCTTAAAGATAAATAAACATATAGAGATGTACACTTTGAAATACCTTTTTCTTTTACCATACTTGGAATACATCACATTGCTAGGCTTCATTTTCATACCAGAATGATATTTTTTACCACTTGTCCTAAGGATGCTGAAAGATACCTCTTTTCCTACAGAAGGCTACTCACTAGGAAGTCAGAGGCTGCAGTTTTTTTACCTACAGTAATGGCCAAACCACTGCTCTGTTCAGTTCTGGTGACCAGGCTTTAAAATAAAAGATGTTGAATTT